AATTTTGTATATCAGACTTCCCACCTTTCTTGTGAAGAGGAATGATATAAGATTCTTTCCAAAGAGATGGAAAGACAGAAGTTTCAAGGGATAGATTAAAAAGCTTTAGCAATGGATAGAAAAGGGAAGAACTGCACTCCTTGAGTAGACAACTAGGAATATTGTCCGGCCCAGGAGAGTAAGAAGATTTTAGAGAGTTTATAGCTAATAGGAGAGAGGAGTGTGAAATAATGGGGGGAGGTATAGAACTAGCGGAGGAAATAGTATAAGGGTAAGAATTAGTATTAGGACAGACTGAAGAGTAAGTTGATTGGAAAAAATTAGCAAAGAGGTTAGCAGAATCAATGTCATTGCTAGCTTTATCCATCCCAAGAAAAAAAGAAGATGGCAAAGTTGAAGACTTACGCTTCAAGTTTACAAAATTATAAAACTGTCTCGGATTTCGGGCGAATTGCCTTTTACAACGAATTAGATAATTCTCATAGCATTGAGAATTAAGAAGAAAAAAGTTCGACTTGGCTATGGAATATTTAGCCAAGTCTGTACACGAACCAGACTTTTTAAACTTTTTAAAATATTTGGATTTTACATTTTTTAGATGTGATAATCTGGGAGTAAACCAGGGTGGTTTTGAAAAAGTAGTCGAAGGAATTGACTTAGGAATACACACATCTAAGAGGGAGTTTAGGGTGATATAAAAAGAATTAATAGCTGTATTCATATCAACTGAGTCATATAAGAAAGACCAATCGGTTGAATAAATAAGCTGATTCAGCAAGGAATAATTTCCTTTGCGAAAGCAATAGCGGGGCTTATTGGCTGATGAGCACGAAATGGAAGGATTACAATTTAGCATTGCAATCTCTAAAGTTGGATGATAGACATCCTCAGGAAGAGATAAAGGAGGTGACCTAGACACATTAGAAATAAGGTAGTCGTTAACAAATACAAGGTCAAGTGTTCTATTCATATGATTAGAAATTGAATTGATTTGAAACAACGAAAGATCAAGCATGCAGTCTAAAAAATCGTGCTGTGCTGAGGGCACTAGATAATTTTCAGCAGTGAATAATGACCAAGAGATGTTCGGCAAATTAAAATCACCCAACACCAATAATAGGTCATTATCCCGCACGTGTGAAGAAACTTCTTTAATACAAGTAATATGATTCATATAAACTTGAATATCAGAAGAAGGTGGGACATAAGAGCATGTTACATAGATATTCCGTGTAGGAAAAGACACCTTAACTGAGACAATCTCAGCGTCAGTAGGCGTACTAAAACAGAATAGTTCAGACTGGAGAGTGGCTTTAACGGCAATTAACACCCCACCACCTCGAGTCGGCCGATCATTTCTAAACAAAATAAAGTTATTCGGTAATATCTCAAAATCAGATATGGTTGAGTTTAACCATGTTTCTGAAAATGCTATTATGTCCGAATCGAAGGAAGTGCTGGCAATAAAAAGATTTTTTAGCTTTGAAGTGAGACCTCTGACATTCTGATAATGAATAAAGATTTGGTCAGAAGATGAAGCTAGTTTTTTGGGGCAGAAATGGTACCCTGTATTGAAGGGACTGGAAGGGTGACAGGCTGGTTACGCTTTTTAGGCTTGAACTCATGAACAATCATGTGTGGTGGCCAAAATTTGGGATCACAAATGATTGGGAACATATCATGTGAAACATTTATTTTGAATGATGATTATAATTAAAATAATGGAAAGGTTGCCCAAATCAACACAGCAATACCTCGTTTATTCATAATTAAATAAGTATTGGGCGTAGAGTGGGTAGCACCAGTGTTGGATAATACTTATATTTGTTCATTTAATTGCGTACCACATTTCTTTTAATAAATGTATATTTTTATACCCTGAACCCATTAAAAATGATTAAAAAGTGTAAACCACATTGGTGCAAATGTAGAACAAAGCAGAAGAAAATATGTCGACCCCCCATATAGTATATATATTCTTGATCAGCAGCAATAGCCGAATGAATAATGACAAGAGTTAGAGACTTGCCTCTGCAATCTCTTGGCAACAAATGCCGAAATGGCGTGAAATGTTTAAGCCTTATGTTAAGGTAACCTACAACTATTTATGTCTTGTGAAGTCTACAACTTTTTGTGTACTTTGGCTTCCATCAGCTGTCGTCATACAAATTGCAGGTTTTGCAGATGCGCTTGAGCTCACATCACTTTATCAGCATTAAATTTCATTTTAATTAAATGCAAATTAATTACAAAACTTTATCAAGCCAAGAAAAACTAAGAAAAAATATATATAAAATAACAGACTGTATGAAGCAATATTATTACGAAAAGGCTTGGCAATATTTCTGCAAAAATTCCCACAACGACGCACCTTAAGCTAATTAACGCAGCTGCCAGGTGAACTGGGCGAGTTTTTTTTTGTTTGCTGGAAAATTTTTGAAAAATCTTGCGCATAAACCACAGCAGAGCGCACAAAAAAATGAGAGAAGAAAACGCTGGCGTCGAGAGAAATGCCTTTAGCCAGCAGAGCAGAGGTAGAAGAAGAATGCATTGTCCTTGCAGGTGGCAGTAAAAAATTGTTAAAATTCCTGGACTGGACCGGCAGGCGCCTTTTCGCAGCTCACAGCTCATTAAACGCTTGTCACCAGTTGCCCCCTTCGGTTGTTGTTGTTGCTGCTGCTGTTGTTGTTGCGGCTCCTGCTGATGGAGTTTTTGGGTGCCAGGATAATCCGGTACAACTTAATGCGCCCCTTGGCCGTGCTAAATAGCGTTCATTATTTACTTTATTTTTCGCATAAAGCGGACGAAAAAAAACTTTTGGCATTTTTATGGCCAAAAGCGCAAAATGCAGCGCTAGCGACAGAGAGAGAAGGAGAGAGTGCGAGCGAGTAGGCAACAGCAAATAAATGTTATTTCACAGCCTTGCGCCTGTTTAAGCTCTATGTGAAATATTTGTATTTTAGTTTTTATACTCGGTACGCATTTCAAAGAAATAATATAATACAAGAGCCGGCACAAACAGATCCAGCTGCTTACAGGGCATCTTTCAGTCACGCACACCCGTCCAGCTGGCTTTTACTAGCTACAGTTTAAGGGTTTAAAGCCGCCCCAAAGGTCCCTGGCCTTCGACTGGCTATAATAAATCATGACGCATATCAATCAGTCAATCAAACATGCCCCAGAAACTTGTCTACATATTGATTGTGCGCTACAAAAACAACAGCAACAACAACTACAATTTATGCCTGACTCAGCATATTTGGCAAAAAAAAATAAAAAGCTCAGCTATGCATTTGACATTTTCCGTCAATGATATCAGCAGAAAAAAGAATGGCAAGGAAATAAGGAGCACAGCAAGACATGTGAAAGGACGCACGACAAATGCTGAAGCTGAAAAAAAAGCACATTGTTGCATAGCACAGAGAGTCCTGTGCGCCCAGTCCTCATGTTCTCAATCCCCAACTCATGAGCACAACTTTTGTGCATTTGACAAGTTTTGTTTGCCAAGCCATACGAACGGACAGTCCATGACACGCCCACACATGTGGAAATTGAAATTGGCCACGGAACTGCCTAAATGGCCTGATTGAAATGTATTTAGCGATAAGCACAATCGAGAATGTACGAAACTATCGAGAAATACATCAACATTTTCGAAATTCCCAAATAATTTAGTTTGCGGCAAAAGTTTTCGAATTGTAGAAGGATTATTTCAAGAGAAATTGTTTAACTCTAAGCTTGAATACAAAATAGTTAAAGATAAAGGAATAAAAGAAGAAGGCCTTTTTATTTTTGAGAGGATCTCTTAAAGAACTCCTAAACTAAGCCTCTAATCTAATTTTATAAATAGAGATAACAACACAATCTAAATTAGTAAATTGCCTGAAAAGCCAGCGGTAAATTCGCAGCTTCAACTTGTTGCGAATTGCAAGCATCAAACATTGAGAATAAGGGAAAGCGAACAAACCAGACGCTATTTTTTGTATGTTTTCGCCTGGGACCTCGACTGTTCTAGTAAAAGGACTGTACACTTTATCAACCAATTTCATTTTGTGCAGACTGTGTTTGTCTGTGTTATTAAATATTTAATTTTAAAAAATGTAATATACATACATAAACTGGACAAAATATTCCCATACGAATATTTTAATATCTAGAAATAAGTTTGCCGGTAAATTTTTGTTTAATTTTTTAAGCTCTTGGGAGATAATTTTCGTAAAATATTCTAGTAAATACTTTGCATGATGAGCTCTTAAAAGAAAGGTACATTTAAACAAATGTTAATAAGTAAAAAAAATATTTATAGAGTAGACCTTAAAATCATATTTCTGACTTAAAAGACTATTCAAAAAAGTAAGTAGCAATAATAATTTTATAACAATAAAACTTCAAGAACTTGATTTTGAATTTGATTGAAAGGAACACTTCATTAAAAATTTTTATAATTAAAATTATGTACAAAGTACTTTTAGTAATAGAAAAATAATTTTAAAAAAATAATTCTACTCCAATTCACACATTGGAGGAAAATATTCCAGTATATACAAATTTGTGAGAAATATTAAGAGGATATCTTATAAGAGTTTTTAAAAAAGTTTATCAGTCAAAACATTAAATTGGTTTTATAAAACTGCTCAAATAAAATTTAAAAATAGCAAAAAAAATGTAAAATTTATTATTTTTCAAGAATTTAAATACATAAGTAAATGCTAGAAAAGATTATTTAATAAATATTATAAATAAAGGAGTATAAATAAAAGCCGTTGCTTAAATGTGTTTGCCATTCTGGTTATTCAAAAAATGATTGTTAACAAAAATAATATCAAACAAATATACGTTGTACACATTCTAAGTATAAATGAGATTTGCATTTTTTGTATATGGGGCAACATTTTTTAACGGAAAATATGCCACAAAAAAGCAAGTCAGAACAGTTCGAGTTAAGAATTCAGAGCTGGAAAATCTTCTTATTATTTATGTTCTTAGAACTCTTGGCTTACCTTTACAAAGTCCAAATAAATGCAATTCGCAATATGTTTAAGTTGAGTTTCGGGTGAATTATAATTCGTTTTGTATATTTGCTTCAAACGTTTTCACGCATTTTGCAACACTTTAAAACCTTGTTGATAATTTTTGTGCATTTCTTCTTTTCGTCTGTTTTCGCACAGTTTGGCAAACAAATTTAATGCAATTTGCTGTTGTTTTCATTTAGATTCGTTAGAGCGAGCCGCAGCATGCGAGTGCGAAAGAGTATAAGAAAGAGTGTAAGAGACAGAGGGGGGCAGAGTACTATAACGGTATTGGTATTACTTGCGGGTTTTTGTTTTAGCGTCGTTTGTCGTTGCTTGTGACTTTTATTCGTTGTTTCTTATCTTATTTCGCGTATCACGGAACTCGTTAAAATCACCTTAGAACACGTGACTGCACGTCATGCACAAGCACACACACACACACACACACACAAACGCACACATGCAGTTCTGAAGCAACAGCGCCGCGAACACACTCACACACATATACGCTGGCAGCAAAAACAAAGTGTGCCGTTAGGTCGATCGCCGGTCCGTTGTTCCTTGGTTCAGCTGGGGCTGTTGCTGTTGCTGCTGCTGCTGTTGTATGATGCTTCACCTTCTACTCCTTCGCCCGCTTCTTTTAGCTGCTCAGGTGCAATGTCAAAAACACAAAAATCTGCACACGACTCGCTGCGGGAAATTGGAAATATGCGCACACACAAACACACACACATATATACACTAATATACTGCGTAGCAACGTGAGTTACAATTCGCGTATTTGTTGGCTGCAGTTTGTTGCTTCGCTGCTGCTGCTGCTGCTGTCCTCTATACGCGCGACAAAAAAACTGCGACGGAGCTGAAACGCAAAGCAATCCTCACGCAAGGACAACGCAATGAAAACTAAGCTAAGAACTCGCGAGCCGTTTACCGAGTCGTGTCGCTTCGTGTCCTTTGCACTGAAATTGAACAACGAAAGCGGCGGCCGAAGCGTCGCACATGCTTCGGCTGGCTGCACGAAGCACTGTACGAAGCTGCATTCGGCTTGTTGCCTAACAAACGCATCCAACGAGAGCAGTCTGTTGGCGTAAGAGTGGGAGAGCGAGAGAGAGCGCCCTTTTGGTTGTGAGCGCTTGGCCGGTTAAGTGTGTCAACAGGGGCAACAAGTGAGGGGCGTGTTTATGGCTATTGGTCAGCAAGCAGTTGACCTGCTTGGCGTTAGGCAAGGGGTGCAACAATTTATGCCTTTCTTGCAATTTACCTTATTGGAAATTTAATATAAGCTTAAAATTACCTCAATATTAAAATGCAAACATATAATATACAAAAAATATATATATATTTGTATGCATATGTTAATGTATATGTATATTTATACAAAACGGATTTCAAAGAATGCGATTTAGTTAACGGCTATGCCAATTTTGAAAGTTTCAAAGTATACAGATTATAATCCTTAATATAATTCATATTAATCACGATTACCTCACTGATACTATTTCTGCAAATATTTGGAATACCTGAGGCTACCAACTATTCGCTTACTCCTGTTTTGTTGACACAATAGCGAACTGCTTGATATGTAAAGAGGTTTTCGAACTGCTTGCATTTCCACGAACCTTCCCCTAAGACAAGTAAAGTCACCTCACATTTCCCCTTCCAAATTGCTGAGTGCACATGTAATTTTCCCCTACGTCTTAACTGCTTCTGTGCCTGAATACTGCTTGATATCGCAAACAAATCCACTGCTTGCGCAACGGATACACTGGTTTATCGATATGCAACTCGATTATTTAAATAAAAATAAAATAACAATATAAAATAAAATATAAAACAATAAAATTTTATGTAAACTACATAGAACACTAAATCAATGTTTTAAAGTGAGAAACAAATCGTACGAGGTATCTTGAATTTGGCGAAAAGTGTGAAATACATCTCAAATGATTTTTCGCATAGATCTTTAAAAAGAAAACTGAGCACCCACCAAATTTTAGAGCACCCTTTCCACCAAGATAGGAATGCACATTTTAAAAATTGTAAAAAAACCCACAAATGAATGTTGAAAACGATCTTTGAAATTGATTGAGGACGATCAGATGGTAAAGAAACAAATGTCATACAAAGGTTTTTCGCAATTTTCCCACAACATGCGGGTGGAATTTCCCGAAACCCACAGTTCAAAATTTCATTAAAGTCTATAAAAATTAAATTAGAATTAACATAAAAACAATCAACAGAAAATATTTGATAACAAATATGCATCAAATGGCATTCTATTATGAAATGGCAATAATAATATTCGAAACTAATAAAATAAAATAAAATCATCAACTAATTTTAAATTTAAAAAATAAATAAATAAAAATATTAAATTAGTTTAATTAATAAAATAAATTATAATTAAAAATATATACATGAAAATATTTATTCGCTAACAAATATGCCCTAAAAACATTCTGTTATCAAATTATTAAATAATAATAATAAAATAATATATACGCACATAAATAAATAAAAACTACAATAAAAGCTTATTCTTAATCCTTTTATATTTACTTTTATAGCCTTTAATAAAAATATGATTTATAATATTGTTAATTGTAAGTTTTATTCTTAAAACAATATAAAAGTCAGTTTTATATTTTACATTTTTGTGAACAGCTGGTTCCGGTTTCGATTCCGATTCCGGTTCCGTTTCCGGTTAATCTTGATGATCTCATAATTCGCATTGGCGCTCCACATTTTGTGGCATCATGTTTTGTAGTGTTGTAAAGTTTATCGAGTCGCTGAACTCGCCCCGTTCGAGTTGTTATCCTTGGGCTGGCCGTTATCCTAGTTGGCCGATGAGGATGCTAATGACTTTATTGTCTCCAGTTGTCTGCATAATTTGTATTATTTCTAGCACAGACTCCGCCACAAGGCTTGCCAACTGGCAGACACGAATGAGTTGTGCGTGTGTGTTGGCTGGTTGGCTGGTTGGCTGGTTGGGATGGTGGGCGTGGTGGGCGTGGCAGGCTAATGAACTGGAAATGTGTTGTTCCAGTTGCTGCGGCCACACACACATCAGCATAATTGCAATTTTTATGATTATGACATTTTGCGCTTCAAGTGTTTTGCCCAATGGCAACCAATTTCCGTGTTCACGTTTGTTGAGTCCTTTGGTCCTTTGGCCGTGAATGGCAACTGGTTAGGCTGCTCCTGCTGCTGCTTCTTCTTTTTCCTTTTCTTCCCTATTTGATTTACAATTATGCAGCTGAGCCTTTTGGGGCAGACAGAAAGTCGCCTGGCAGGACATTTTGGCAGTGCATCAAACTGGGAGCTCCCAACAAGGCACTTAAAATAGTTGCCTAAGTGGATAGAGTTATGCTCTGATTTATAATATATACATATGCATGTGCTATATGTGCTTGAGTTGATACATGTTTGTTTGTCAATGCGAGGAGAGTTGGGCTTAACTATCCTTTTAAAATCAATAATATCAATAAATATATCGATTTGGCTTTTGGTAGTGCTCATCTCTGGGCACAGAGAGGCCTACACACATATATGTAATATAAACTCTCTCTATCCATTATCAATAATTTTATTATATTTTTTTTAATATATATATTTTTTTTGTATTAGTTTTTAATATTTCATACAAATTAAGTTTAAATTGTGAAAACTTTAGTAACCAATATTATATACATTTGATTTAAAGATATATGAAGTAATACTATCGCAAGTCAACGTCAAGTGCCATCACTAAGGAACAGGCTCATAAAATAGGTAACTGTTTAATCTGATTTAGTCTTCGAATTCTTATTACTGCCACTCCGCGCACACGGAGAGCGCGGGCTGGAGGCGACTTTTGCCCTCACAGCAAAGCTGCACACACATGCACACAGCATAAATCAATGCTAACGGCAGTTTATTACTCAATGGCTCTGCTATTGGAACAGCGCTTAATACAGCTTCCACTCAACTCTGCTGATGAGCTACGATCCAACTCACATAACATTCACCCTCACGTACACACACACACACACACTCAGACGCCCTTACATTTGTATGTGTATTGTTTGTGCTGAGTGCAGCTGTTTGCCTTATCGCTCTCGAGGGAGAGGGGGTGAGAGAAAACAACTACAAGACACAAGGCATAAGGAGCAGCTCGGATCGCAGCTGAGAGCTCAGCTGAGCGAGTAGTTGTGCGAGCATAATCGGAGGCTTATCAGTATGCACGTGTGTGTTACCTTGCTGTGAGAGCAAAATGCACGTGTCTCAAGTTTACGCTCTCTGAACATTCTTAATTGAAGTGATGGGAATACGAAGATTAAAACAGCAGCTGATTGTTATGTGCGCCTGGTTGTTAGAGATGGCACTTGACATTGACTTAAAATGACGAACATCCTCACACACTCTCGCTTAACATTTATGCTATATTTATTGATTATTTATTTATATAGAATAATATTTAGATATAATAAATACATTAAACAATATAATAAAAAATTATAAAATTACATATAACAAAAATTATATATCAATTGAGCATAATTATAAAACAATACTATAACATTATGTAAAATATCAAACAAAATTTTAAAAAATGTTTAATTAAAAACGGGAAGTAAATTCAAAAATCAATATATTATATTATAACACGACATAAAACAATATTTTGAATAAAAAAAATAACAAGTTAACAAATCGTTTATTTAATATTAAAACTAAATAGGAACCAAAATTAATATTGATATTAATACCAAAATATATATGTATGTATATTTGAATTAACATAAATTAAGATGCTAAAACATGATTTGTTATAAATTTATATACTTATGCCGATTTATAAAATTAGCGCAAGTTAGTTAGTTTCTTTATACATTAAGTTTGCCCAAAAGGGAGAAATAATTATTAAATAAAATATGTATTTATATAGGCAGCTAACATTATTTTAATTGCTCAAAAATTATAGCAAATTTTGTGCAAAAAAAGCCTTTGCTGCCTTTTGCAAACATTTACAACCGGGTTTTTCTGGTTTTTAGGTACGTACAATATTTCCTGGAAAAAACGCGTTACCTTGAATAGCCGAGCTATTTGCCAAGGACAATCTCTTCTGAATCCGTCAGTTGCCTGTCTGACCGTTAGCTGAAGGTCCGTTTGTACCTGGTCCATGTACCTGAACTGGCCCTATAAAAGGGCTGCTACAGCCGTGATCCTCAGTTCATTTCAGTCCAAACGTTGTCGCGTTGTGACGTGTTGCAAATTCGCGCCGTCGACTCAGCTTTGCTTCTAGTATATTTGAGTAAATTGTAAAAATGTGTGTACGAGAACGTTAAAAAAATGACAATATAATTTAAAATTGTAAACAAATTGTTAAAAAAAAGTTCAACTAGTTAGTTAAATATATCAAAATGCTGAGTCGACTTAGGTCCGCCCGTCCGCAGTGCTATATCTAATTTTATAGCTAACACTTTGCAAATCTTTAACTTCGGCTGGCCGAAGAAATTTTAAATATTTTTCCTATGCTCACAATGAACATATTATTTTCTGTAGTTAGAATGTGTTATGAGTTTTTTCATTTTTCATAATCGACTTTTAATGCAGGTGAATGAATTTTCCTCGATTTGTTTAATGAATTTCTCGTATTATTCTCTTCTGATTTATTCTTGATTTAAAAATTTTCTTTTCTATTTCATCTATTTATTATTTCAAACAGATAAGACCCAAGTGTTTAGTTCTGGCTGTTTTTTTTTTTTGCTACATATACCTAAATTGTTCTGAATTCAAACATTTTTCAAATTCTTTTTTTTTTCAATACTTTTGGTTGATGCCGATTACAGTCAATTCTCGATAAACGGCATACTACTATAATAGTTCCCTGATGAAAATACGTCATTTTCTTTTCTAT